ACCTAGACACAGGAGAACTATTGTCGTGAAAGTGTTGTACAGTCGATTACAAATTTAGATTGCAGAGAGTTTGTTCTGAGCGCTAAAGGCACTCACGATAGAGCACATTTTGCTTTATTCTAACACCCACCAGCCAATCTGGACTCCTTCCACCCCCAATTCCGGCTCTGGTACGAGGCAATGAAGTACCTTCACGATCACAATGAGTCCCAGAGTATCCATTCCCACGCTCACATATTCAGCGCCGACACCATCCCTACCGATCGATTTCCAGACAGCGAACTAGCTATGCATCTGACATATTCCCCATCCACCGTCAGTGCATTTGCAGCTGAGGTACTCACCTACAAAGCCCTCCTCGAAGAATTCAAACGGCACTCGGCCCTCTCTAGTTTAGCATCTACTACTCATGTCACTACCCAAGAAGCTCCTGCAGCCCCCCTTCCACCAGGGGCTCCATTCGATAGCGAACTTTTTGCCAAGATCATGGCCAACGCTTTTAAAGGCGCCAATGCCAGCACCAAGGAAAAAGATCTCGCCCGCACTTCGGCCAGTGCCAAAGATTCTTTCAGCTTGATTTTTGGCCGAGCCAAACCGGTCATCCAGCTCGACGGCTCCACTGTCAATGAATTCCACCCATCCGTACTCACTGACAACTTTGCCACATTCTTGGAAATCGGTTCAATCAAAGAGGCCCTACGCCACCTCCATGATACTTTTGCCCACATCACCGATACCCTCACCACCCGGAACAACTACGACTGCAACGTCGACTTCGATATTGCCCTCTTCCAACACGCTACAGTCACTGCCCTCAAAACATGCAGCTTTGGAGTTCGACCCCTAACCATGCACCCCCACGAAGCAACCTCACTTCTAATATATATATAACTGAATCATTAATTGGTATTTATGCTACTTCTAGAGTATCCAACTGCCGGTGTAATGCGGCTGTAGAGGCCAGGAACTAGGTTGCTTTTGGTCAACAAAGTTTGAACCACGTGGA